ACTGACGCTCTATCCTATGAGCCAAACCGGATTCGGCCTTCTCCTGATTTTTAACGGCCACATGTGGGTGTGGGAGTCGCCCAGTTCTATCCCTTCTACCAGTCTCACTGTGGCTTCTTCTTTATATCCTTTGTTGTAGGACTTCTGTTCAGCTAGATTTCAGGTGGTTCTGATTGATGGTTGTGCTGTAATGTAGCTGTAACTTTTTTAATGTGGTGGTGGGAGGTGTGAGAACCATGTTTACTATGCTGCCATCTTGACTGGACCCTACAAATACCTTTTGAGACCCTGCTTTTGACTTTTTTGGGTATATACCCACAAGTGAAATTGTTTGATCATTTGTTAATTCCATTTTTAATTCTTTTGGGGAACTGCCATAGTGTTTTCCTCAGAAGCTGTACCATTTAAATTCTCACCAACAGTGCACAAGGCCTCCAACTTCTCCACATCTTTGCCAACACATAGTTTTTCTTCCTAATTTTTTAATAATATCCTAATGGGTGTGAAGTGGTATCTCATTGTGGTTTTGATTTTCATTTCCCTAATAACTGATGTTAAGCATCTCAGTGTTTTTTGTACATTGTTGTTAATCCTCACCTGAGGATATGTTTCCCATTGGTTTTCAGAGAGAAGGGGGAGAGAAAGAGAGAGAGGGGGGGGGGGGGAGGGAGGGAGAAGAGAAGAGAAGAGAAGAGAGAAACATGGGTAGATTGCCTCCTGCACACACAGGTGCTGGGACCGAGGACGAGGAGTGAACCTGCAACCCAGGTATGTGCCTTTTACCAGGACTCAAGTCCCTGACCCTTCGGTGCACAGGCCAACAGCCTAACCACTGAGCACACACTGGGCGGGGCCCAGTGTGGTTTTGATTAGAATTTCTCTAGTGACTAGTTATGTTGAACATCTTTTTATTGTTGTTGAATGTCTTTTCATGTGCTTATTAGACATTTATTCATCTTTGGAGAAATGATACTTCAGATGTTTTGCCCATTCTGAAATTTGTTTTTTTGTGTTGGGTTGCAAAGGTGCTTTATATATACTATTGCACCCTTACCAGACATGTATGACTGGCAAACATTGCTTCTTATTCTGTGGGTTGTTTCATTTTCTTGGTAGTTTTAGAAGTGGAAGTTTTTAACTTTGATATTTATTTTTTTCTTTGGTTTCTTATGCTTTTGGTATTCTAATCTAATGAAGATTTACATCTATGTTTTATTCTAAGAATTTTAGCTCTTAAATTTAGGTCTCTAATCCATGGGTTCTCCAGGAAGCGTGGGAAGTCACGACCCTGGGGAGCAGAGGTCTAGAAAGTGAACTTGGGCCTTCCCGCTGTGGGACCCCAGCCCTGTGGGTGGTTCCAAGGGACCCAGAGACCCAGGGGCAGCATTGTCTCCTGCTCCCTCTGCCTCCTCCCAGCGCCCTCCGCTCCTCCTCCCAGCGCCCTCAGCTCCTCCTCCCAGCGCCCTGCAGCTCTCTGGAGGGTACTTCCTATCTCTCTCTGTCCTGGCCCTTTTGCCCTCAAGGACTGAGCTTGGAAACAAGCCAAGGATTCATTCCCAGCTTCTCCGAGAAGCTGCTGTCAGCCTTTCCCTGAAGTGACAGCTGCCTCCCTGGTAGAACAGAGTTTAGGCGATGGCACTTCATCTAAGTCGTATTCTTCTCCAAACTGTTCAGTCGGAATCTGGTCATAAGGAAACCTAAATCCAAATTATGCAACATGCGGCAAGATGCTTAGACACTTAAAAAATGTGTCATGAAAAACAAAACAAAAAGTGGAGAAACTGTTTTCATTCCGTGAGACTGAGGAGACATGATAACGGAAAGGAACGAATGGTCCTTCATTGGATTCTGGATGGACACGCCCTGGAGGACGTGCCTGGGGCCTGGGCCGAGCGGCTGCTTCGCTGGTGATCCTGTGGAGAGGGGAGGAGCTCGGGAGCCACTGTGACATTAGGGGGCGGTAGAGGAACTGTGGTCACGCAGGGATGTCCTTGTTCTCAGGAGTTGCACGGTGTTTGCATAGGGGTGAAGGAGCATGGTGTACGTGGTGTACTTGCAAATGGCTGCAAGAAAACTGTACCTGAGAGGGAGAATGCAAATGTGGCGGAATGTTGACAGTTGGTGATTTTGGGTCAGGGACATGGTGTGGCTCATTACACTGTTCTTTCAGATCAGGGCAGGGGGTTCTTCCACTGCTGTGCCAGGGGCAGAGAGGGGGCCCAGATTCCACAAATCGGACGCTTCTCCCTCCCCACTGGGCTGATGTAGGGAGTGCAGCGTCCTCCCCTACCAGCCCTGCTGCAGCAGAAACACTCATGCCCAGAAGGATGACAGTTCACCCTGGTCCACTGGCCCGTCATGGCGAGAGCTGTGCGGCTAGCTGGATGGTTGCTCTTAAATCCAGCCTGGCTGTCTCCTGCATTCACTCACACCGAGTGTCTGGCTGTGCCCAGAAACCTCTTCACTTACCCTGTGTCACCCCAGCCACATCTCAGCGACGGTGTAGGCCCATGAAGGCTCCAGTTCTAGTTCATCGGAGCTACCCGTGGTCACTGCTCAGCACCACGAACGGGCCAGAGAGGAGAGCACGGGGGCGCTAACCCACAGGATTGGGGTGAGCTGAGGCCCCGCTGGGGAGGCGTGGCAGCCTGAGTAAAGCTCCTGGGAAGGTTGTTCTCTGCATCCTCTGGGCCTGAGTCACTGGAGACCAGGTGTCTGCAACCTAGCCGGGCCCCCAGGCCTTTCTAAAAGGCATGTTCTCACCACAGGGCATCGAACCCCCCGTCCTTCTGCCTAGAATCCCCATCCGCAGAAGTTAGTGACCACCACGTCCTTCCAGCTGACCAGAGTGCTCTTGGCACGGCCAGATTTGGTGGTGCTGTTGCGGGTCCCCACAGGACAATCATTGTGCTGTGTCTTTTCTGCCAGCTGCTGTAGACTTGGCTTCAGGTTCAGGGCCCGTCTCCCCACAAAGCGTGAGCTCTGAATGAGCTGCGGCACGGGGCTGGCAGAGTGACTCCTCGGGAAGCACGTTCAGTGCCCATGACTCAGGGTGGTGGCAGTGGAGGGGGTGGAGGAACCGAGTTCCCGTCCCAGGACACATGCAGAGCTGGGTCTGTGGAGATGGGGCTGCACGCTGTTAGGGAGGCAGCCCACCGTGGTTCCCACACAACAGCAGTTGCGCATTTCCTTCTCAGAGGAAGCGGTGAGGTAGATGCTGTACACGTTTTCCAGGGAGGAAATCGAGAACTTGGTTTTCTTGCCCAGGATCATGGAGCTGGTGAAGGACAGCTGGAATCATGGCCTGTGCCCAAGCCTGCTGTTCTCATGGAGCTGCCGATTGGGAGGGGGTCTGGCTCGGTCTTCTGGGGGGGTCTACTCCCCCCGCCCCTTCTCCCAGCCTGGCCCACCCACCGCAATAACACCATGAGCCCTTGTTACACATTACCTCATTTATTCTCACAACATGCCTGTGAGGTAGGGAGGGGCAGGGACTGTCCCCATTTTACAGAGGAGGAAGTTGAGGCACACAGAGGTCAAGTGACTTGCCCAAGGTCACAGACAGTGGCCAAGCTGGGATGGGGTCCCAGAACAGGCCCTCAGTTCACCCGGGGCCCCTGCAGCAAGTGCTGGACACGAGGATGTCTCAGTGCTGTAGCCTAACACCGGGTAGAGAGCAGCCTCGCGCACTGAGCTTGCTGCGGCTGGCCTCGCCCTCCCCTCCTCCTGCCCTCCCCACCCCGCCCCACAGACCCGGGCCATTGCAGCTCAGGGCTCGTGACACCCTGGGAGTGGGGCTAGGGGGCAGGGGAGAAAGAAGGGTGGATAGGGTAAAAAAATAGAACAGAACAGAAAACTTAAGAGGCTGGGCAGGTGGGAGACGAAAAACAAAAAAAAGGCTGCTTACACACAAAGTATATATTTTTACACACACTTGTACACACACCTAGATATAGTACATGTAAAAATATATGCTATTCACACACCTGCCTCCTGCCAGGTGCCCCAAGAGCCAGTGGTGGCGCTGGTGGGCATGGGTGAGCAGATGGGCGTTTGTTAAATATACACTCTAAGGTCTATGTGCATATGTACACATACTACAGACACAGCCGCCTGCTCCCCGGTGCTGTACACAGGCTTGGCCAGGGACAGACAATGGGGTCCCTCTCGCACGTGTCCTCTGTGAGTCACTGAGCCGTACATTCTGGTGGGAGAAGGGCTGGAGAGAAGAAAAAGGCAGGAGTCTGGAATGTGATTCTGTAGTTTTATCTTTTCCCTCCCAAAGACTTAAACCTCATCTTCTCGGGGAGAAGCATCGCCTGCTTGAGGGCTGGCAGGTCACAGGGTGGAGGTTGCTTCTGCTGAGAGGAACCTACATCTGTGTGTGTGCACATGTGTGACTGTGTGTGAGCACTTGGTGGGGAGGGACCGCGTGTCCATCTCTGTCCCCTGGGCTCTCCCCCGCAAAGAGGGCCGAGACCCAGAAAGCCACCAGCCGGGTGGTGACCCCTGTGTGAGCTCTGAAGGGAGGGAGAAACGTAAGAATGAAAACCCCGAGGTCAGCGCAAGGGTAGCTGGGAAAAGGAAGGAAGGACATGGCAGGTGCCCAAGGCTGCCCTTGGACTGTCGTCTTGTAAACAAGCTAGTTTAAGTTCTCATTAGATAGTACAAGTAAAAAGACTGCAGTCTGCAGGCTGGGCCGGGGAGGTTGCTGAAGTCCATCTACCTAGTCCACCACGGCCAGCAAGAGGAAAAAAAGTTTTACAGGTTTGTGTATTTGTTGACTTTTTGTGTGTGTGTGAAGTCTTCATAACCTAAAGCTGGGAGGGACCCAAAAAAGCCAAATTGTGAGCCCTTGTATGCATCAATTTGAAAGTTGGCTCAGGGTCTCTAGATAGAATAACCATACTAAAGGCTGAGAATTTTCTCTTCCATTCGTATTTAGTTTGTGTGTGTTTTCTTGAAACGACTGAAAGTTGTTTGCTTCCTGCTTCCTGCTCTCAGAGCCGGGTCTGGGCCTCAGGGACGTAGATCTCGATGCTGTCCGCACTCTCTGTGGCTGAGTTCTGCCTCACGGAAGCCGCCCGCTTGGCTGCCAGGAGTCTCTTGCGCGCCTCCTGACGCTGCTTGTCCCCGCTGTCGGAGGCCTTGTCGCGGCTCACTGCCGGCTTGGATTTGGCTGGCTTCTTTGGGACCGGAGGGGGTGGTTTCTTCTCGTCCTTTAGCGAGACAGTGAGGAGGGAAGGAAAATAAAATAAAGGTGCCACCTTCAGTGTGGCACTACCACTCCCGATATGTGGCAGCTGTAGTCTGCACCCCAGCCTCCCCACATCGGGCACAAGCAACACACATTTGGAATCAGGAAGCCACAAGAAGCAATGATAGTGGGAGTAGCACAGGCATAGGAGCAAGAAGCAAGCTTAGAATCCTAGAATGTTCCAGCAGGAAGGGACGGACAGGTGACCTTTTCCCGCCCCTGCTCTGAACCACTGGGATCCTGAGACTCAGGCAGGAATGATCTGAGTCACAGCCAGAGATGGGATTAAATTCAAGGCATCCAACTCTCAGGCCACATGATATTCTAGGGGATCAGAACTTACAAGGCCCACAGACCAGTAACCGTAGGGGTCACTGGGTGCTGCTGGTTTACAGAAGAAACCTGGGCCTCAGGGAAGAAACCTGGGTAGCCCCACGAGTTTCAACAGCCTATTCTAGTGTTCAAGGCTGTGGGCACGTCTCCAAGGAGCCCCATTTTCTGGACATGCAGGACAGAGTGGCATACTTCAGAGGGCACAGAGAGCGCGCTGCATGCTGGACAAGTGCTGAGCATGGACCCCACGCATGATGGACGTGAGCCCCCAGCTCAAAGACGACACATGGAGAAGGGAGCCAAGCAGCACTGACCGATGTGGGCAGCGTTATTGCCGACCAGGAATTTGTCCCTGGACTTCCCCTCCGCACTGCTCCATGCTCACCTTCCTCTTCTCGGGCGTCTCCACCAGCTGCCAGCTGTTGGCCTTGAGATGGTAGAGTTCATCAAACTTCATGCTGATGTCCTCGATGGACAGCTGTAGCAGGTCCCAGAACCCTGCCAGGTCCTGGGCTGTTGGACGTGGGTTGGCGTCAGGGTTCTGTGGGGAAGAGCAGTATCAGCGGGACAAGCAAGGCTGAGGCCTGTTCTGCTCCCCGGCCATGGTTGGGGTCTCTTGGGGCCTAGTCTTGCTCTCCTGCTCCCAGGGTCCGTATCTGCATGAGTAAATTAAGCTAGTTCCTGGTCACTGCCAGCCCTGATGGTGATCTTTAGCAGAAAGAGTAGGCTCTGCACATACATGGAAGGCGGAGGCCTTGGCCACCACTGTAGGGCAGCAGTGAGGAAGGCCCTCAGGCCCCTAATGCATGCCAGGCCAACAACAGTTCTCATTTTACAGGGAGAAAACAGCAGTTCCCGGCACGGTCTCACAGTCAGATGGGGAGAAGCCAGGAGCCCTCCCATCATTTTGTTCTCTGATATCATGTTCCTCATCACAACTGTCCAAGCCAAACCCCTAAAGTCCTGGAGACAAACACTCTGCCATTGCCCTTCCCTCCCACCCCTTACCCAGGAATGGGTGAGGGAGAGGAAAGCACATTAAGCCTAGTGGTGATATTTTAAAATTTCTTACCTTGACTGTTTTCTTAGATATAGAATATGTCTAATATAAATAAATCAGTGATAACTGATCTTTAACTTTCATTGGCTATTTTTTTTAATCAGTTTTCTGTTTCAAAAGGTTTAGCGATCTGAAAGGACCACTCCTGGCCCCTTTCTTGCGCTAAGTATTGTCATCACCTTTTATGGCCACAGGCGGCCACAGAGGCGTGGAGGGGCTAATGTAGCTGCGGGAGCTGGCAGGCTGCCAAAGGTAGAAGCCCTGCTGTGGAGAACGAAGAATCACACTCACCAAGTTTTGCTCACAGAGGCCCCGGAACTGCTGGAATTTCTGGGACATCAGTAGCTGGGCACTGCCCACAGCACTGAGGACTTTTCCTAAGACTGAGAAAGAGAAGGTAGAATAGACCGACTGAGCCAAGCACAGGTTTCCTGGGTGGAAGGCAGATCAGGGTCATGGCTTCCATCTCCCTTCCCCACCTTGGGATACCAGTCATTCGGCAGTGACTGGAGGCTCGATGCATGAAATTCGTGCAAGGGGCTTGGCCCTCTGCTTCATCTGGAAAGTCATCGGGTCTAATTAGTATATTATGCTTTTATTATTATAGATGTCAGTTGGTATTTATTTTATATGTTAATCCATTCTGTGAAAAATGCAAAAAATACATATAAACGAACTCCATTTTATGGCAATAAACTTGAAACAGTTTAAGTGGAAAAATTTTCCAGAAAAATGTAAATTATTCTCATAGACTCAAGAAGAAATAGAAAATTTGATTAGGTCAATAACTATTTTTAAAAAGCGAAGCAGACTGCAGTACATTGAGCTCCATAGAGATAGTGCCGGGGCAAATGCGAGCCGGCCGGGCACTGGGTGACTGTGCCCGCTGAGGGAAAGGAGTTAAACATGGGCAAAGGAGACCTTAAGGAGCCGAGAGGCAAAATGTCATTGTCTGCTTTCTTTGTGCAAACTTGCCGGGAGGAACACAAGCAGCAGCACCCAGATGCTTCAGTCAACTCCTCAGAGTTTCCTGAGAAGTGCTCAGAGAGGTGGGAGACCAGGACTGCTAAGGAGAAAGGAATATGAAGACATGGCAAAGGCGGAAAAGGCTCGTTATGAGAAATGAAAACTTATATTCCCCCTAAAGGGGAAACAAAAAAGAAATTCAAGGATCCCAAGGGACACAAGAGGCCTCCTTCGGCCTTTTTCTTGTTTTATCCTCAGTATCGCCCAAGAATCAATGGCCTATCCTTTGGTGATATTGGGAGAGAGATGGAATCACACTGCTGCAGATGACAAGCAGCCTTATGAAAAGAAGGCTGCTAAGCTGAAGGAGAAAAATGAAAAGGATATTGCTGTCTACCGAGCTAAAGGAAAGCCTGATGCTGCCAAAAAGGGAGTTGTCAGGGCTGAAAAAAGCAAGAAAAAGAAGAGGAAGAAAATGAGGAGGAGGAAGATGAAAATGAAGATAATGATGAATAAGTTGATTCTAGCGCAGTTTTTTTCTTTTGTCTATAAAGAATTTAACCCCACTGTACACTACTCACTCCTTTTAAAGAAAAAAGCTGAAATGTAAGGCTGTGTAAGATTTGTTTTTAAACTGTACAGTGTCTTTTTTTGTATAGTAACACACTGTAGAATGTGTCTTTAGATAGCCCTGTCCTGGTGGTATTTTCAATAGCCACTAGCCTTGCCTGGTACAGTATGGGGGTGTAGATTGGCATGGAAATTTAAAGCAGGTTCTTGGTGCACAGCACAAATTAGTTATCTATGGGGATGGCAGTTTTTTCATCTTCAGTTGTCTCTGATGCAGCTTATACAAATAATTGTTGTCCTGTTAACTGAATACCACTCTAATTGCAAAAGAAAAGTTGTAGCTGTTTTATTGACATTCTGAATGCTTCTAAGTAAATACAATTTTTTTTTATTAGTTAAAAAAAAAAAAAAAGTGAAACAGAAAACACAGTAAAGTGGAACTTAATCTTGCCAGGAAAGGAAACCAGGCCTATGTAGTTTCACAGATGAGGTTTTACAAAACCTTCAAGGAACAGTAATCCCTGTCTTATATTCACACTCTTCCAAGAGTAAGTAAAGACAGAAAATGACACAACTAGTTTCAGGAGCCCTGACAGCATATAGGACATGCCAAGAACAGATCACTTTCATTATGAACATAAATGTACACGTCTTAAATAAGATTTAAGCAAACAGACTCCCAAACAAAGAGCTAGCCAGGATTACAGGTTGATCTTTTAGTGTGACTTTAATTTTAAAGTGGTGGCATAAAGAAATACTCCTTCCCATTCCTCTCAGAAATCCCTGAAAAGCAAAAGAGAGTAAACAAGCAGTGGAAATGCAGATCATATCTGCTGGGACCTGAAGCACAGTGTGAACTGCTGCCACACTGACCACACACGGTAGCCACGCGGACAGGTCTTGGGGCTGACGGCCTCAGATACAGGTGACAGTCTGGAGTTCTCAAAGCACACCTTCAGAGGAGAGGCCAGTGATCTCTTCTTTAAAATGAAAGGGGATGCGGACTGCAGCAGGGCTTTCCTGAACCTGGTTCAGCACCCAGAGAGGGGAGGTCTTTGCATGGTAAGCAGCCCTCCTATAATGAGCTAATGACAAGAGCTCATTAAGAAATTAGTAACTGAAAAGGAACCAACACAGGAGCTAAACAGAGGTATTATAGAACAGCAAGTGGCAAATGAACATTCACCAGAAAGTTGTTGCCAGGGAGTAGATGAAAAGTCTGACTGTTTAGTTGTAAGTATGTGACAACAGTAGTTCAAAGCAGAGATTGAGGTGTTCCCAACAGATGCAAGACAACAGAGATAAAACATGAGCTCTGGAACTAGTACAAGAGAAAATCAGGTCATCACAGAAACAAGGGCTACGCTACAAGCAGCAGAGTAACCCTTGCTGAAAACCAGGTAGGCCAAGGCACACAAGACAAACTGGTTAAATGAAAAGCTAAGCTGCTGAAAATAAAATGATACCCCCTCTCCCTTCCGTAGATGGCAGGATGTGCCTGGCTTGGTCTAAAATAGAGTCTTGAATTCCTAACCATAAGACTGCACTTGGGCACTTTATTTTTTAAGAAACAAAAGTTACATGTATTAAAGAGAAACTATAAAAAAAGAAAGTGATTGAGAGGCATGGAAGAGAGAGAAAGAATATGAGCATTCTAAAAGAAAAGAATAGAGAGAATGGAAGAAAAATATTCAGAGAGATCATGATTTAAAATTTTCCAGAAATGGCTCTAAAATAAATCCACACTTATTTACAGTAAAACCAAAGACAAAGAGGAAATCTTAAAAAGCAGTCAAAGGGAAAGGAAAGATTAATCTCTCCAGTTTTAACCCTGCCCCACTCTAGTCCTCCCTCTGCAACCTTCCCTCAGTGCCCTGCACTCTTCGGAGGACCATTTCCGATTTCTCCTCACACCTCCTAAGCCTCCACCACTTTCTGACTCTGCAGTGATGCCCTCTGCATCAGCAGCACACAGTTGACCTTCTTAAAACTCTCATTCAGTTGGGTTCTTTTGTATTTTTATTAATAGATTATCTCACAGTTTTTATGGGTCACAACTTGGGGTGGATTTTATCTTTCTGGTAGTGATTTGAAATCAATCTTCTTAAGTTCACCACCAGCTCCCCCTTCTCTCTACTCTGCAGTTTCCCAGCCTGTCTCCCTGGAGGCTTGCGTCACAGTACAGGAGGCCACTGGCTGGAGTGGTTTTCTGTTTCCAGTTAATGTGAAATCTGGACATTCTCTGTTTTCATGCTGGATTTGATGGAGTTTTATTTGATTTGTTGTTGTTGTTGCCAACATTGTTTGTGTGTGTGGGGGGGAGGCAGGGATATGTTGGGAGATTCAGACTGATGCCCCCACCATTATCTTGGCACCGAGAAGTCCTCCCTAATAGTTACTCTAAACCTAATTTGCCTAAAGACTCATGGGTGTCCATTGACTCAAATTATCTCATCTTGTTCTTTAAGCTCCTGTGTCAGTTAAGAATTAAATTGAGCTATGGGTTAAAGAGACCAGAAAATAGTGGTTTAAACAAATCAGGGTGTTTTTCTTGTGTAACAAGAGGTAGGTGGTAGTGGGCATCCATTCAACAGCATAGTGAGGTCAGTGTTGATATCTCTGTGACTTAAAATTTTTTTTATTTTATTTTATTGCTTAAAGTATTACAAAGAGTAGTATATATGTCTCCTTTCTCGCCCCCCACCCCCCAATTAACCTTCCCCTGGCCTCCCCTACCCCTAACCTGAGTTCCCACATAGAAATGGCCTACTTGTTACCGGCACAAAGATCCATTCCATAGAACATCATTGAGAAGTTTCACAAGATAGATAAAGTGAAGATCCTAATAGTTTTCAAGATGATAAAATACAAAGGACTGGCACCAAACTTTTCATTACAAATAATGAAAGCTAACACATTACATATAGCCCTTATGATTCTGAGGGAAAACTATTTTCTACCTTAGGTATATATATAATTTTTATTTATTACTTTAAACTCTACACCCAGCAAACTGTATGTCTGAATTAAAGACATGGCAGTTTCCAAAAATTTACCTCCAGTTGAAGGTGTGCTCTAGTAAGATGAGGGACTGATTGATGCCAAGAAAGCAAAAGAACATGTGGTCCAAAAAGCATAGTGTCCATCATGGGAAAGTGGCCAAGGGCAGTCCGAAGACCAAAAGGGAAGTAACTGGACAGCAGCTAGGCAGCAGTCCCAGAAAGCAGCCTGGCCAGACCAGAGCAGAGGATAGAAGAGGGCAGTAGGGAAAACAGGAAATCATGTGTGCATATCTGGAGGGTTGGCAGATCTGGTGGATCATGTGAAAAAATTACAAATAAGTTTAGAAAATAAAGTATATTAGAAAGATGGAGCAACTATTCATTCTAGAAATAATAAAAGAAATAAATAGCCCTAGCTGGTTTGGCTCAGTGGGTAGAGCGCCGGTCTGCAAACTGAAGGGTCCTAGGTTTGATTCCAGACAAGGGTACATGCCTGGGTTGTGGGCTTGATCCCCATTGTGGGGTGTGCAAGAGGCAGCCGATCAATGACTCTCTCATCATTGATGTTTCTATCTCTTCCTCTCCCTTCCTCTCTGAAATCAATAAATATATTTAAAAAAAGAAAAAAAAGAGAAAATAAACCATAATCTATTATTTGGCTCTGCAGTGAACAATATTTACATGGTCATAGTAAACAGAAATATTGGGGTTGTTATTTAATCCAAATATAATATTTGGAGGGTAGGACAGGAGGTGGAGGTGACAGAGCTAAATACTCATCTATTTTAGCAGGAAATCAATATATAATGATAGTGAATTTTAGAATTGAAATAAAAGGTAATCACCTCACAGCCAGGTTGGCCTGGAGGTCAATTCCTCCCAGTGATACCAACAACAATCAAGATTTAACTACAACAAGCCTGTACACACAGTCCACAAAGGGGAGCACCAAGAGTGTCCACCTCAGGTAACTGGGGAGGCTGATCCACCGGGCCATACAGCAAAAATGAGGAGACAAGGAAACTGATCACAAACGAAAGAAATGGAGAACAAACTACTGGATATAGAGTTCAAAACCACAGTTATAAGGTTTTTCAAGAATTTTCTAGAAAAGGCTGATAAATTTAATGAGACCCTCAAGGATATGAAAAAGGACCAACTAGAAATTAAACATACACTGACTGAAATAAAAAATATTATACAAAAACATAACAGCAGACTAGAGGAACGCAAGAATCAAGTCAAAGATTTGGAATACAAAGAGGCAAAGAACATGCCTCTGAAGAAGCAGAAAGAGAAAAGAATCCAGAAAGTTAAGGATAGTGTAAGAAGTCTCTGGGATAACTTCAAGCATACCAACTTCAGAATTATGGTAGTGCCAGAAGAAGAGAGAGAGCAAGATACTGAAAACCTACTTGAAGAAATAATGACTGAAAACTTCCCCCACCTGGTGAAAGAAATAGACGTAGAAGTACAGGAAGCACAAAGAACCCCAAACAAATGAAATCCAAAGAGGAACACACTAAGACACATCATAATTAAAATGCCAAGGGCAAAAGACAAAGAGAATCTTACAAGCAGCAAGAGAAATACAGTTGGTTACCTATAAGGGAGCACCCATACGATTGTCAGCTGATTTCTCAACTGAAGCTATGCAGGCCAGAAGGGAGTGGAAAGAAATATTCAAAGTGATGAATAGCAAGAACCACAAACAAGATTAGTTTACCCAGTAAAGCTATCATTCAGAATTGAAGGGCAGATAAAGAGCTTAACAGATAAGAAAAAGCTAAAGGAGTTCATCACCACCAAACAAGTATTATATGAAATGCTGAAAGGTATTCTTTAAGAAGAGGAAGTAGAAGAAGAAAAAAGTAAAGATAAAAATTATGATCAACAAATACATACACATCAAGTGAATCTAAAAATCAAGTGGATTAAAAATCTGAGGAACAGAATAAACTGGTGAATCAGGAGCAAAGAAAGGGAGTGGGTTGATAATTATCAGGAGGAAAAAGATGTGGGGGGTGCAGGAAGAGACTGGACTAAAATTGTACACCTATGGATGAAGACAATTGGGGGGGGCAGATAAGGGCAGAGGGTGGGGTAGGAACCGGGTGGAAGGGAGCTCTGGGGGGGGGGGGAGGAGAAACAATTATAATAATCTGAGCAATAAGGATTTATTAAATTAAAAAATATAAATTAAAAAAATATAAATACAGAATATGCAACTGATGAGGCTGAGAGTGGATAAGCTAAGTGGGTTGGATGGCTTATTAGCCTTTTAGTGTTCCCACTGATCCTTGCTTCCATTCCAATTTTTAAAATACTATTGTAAAAAGTAATAGGTATATATCTCACAACAGTTCCCTGCACACACACAATGGGGAACTGGCCCAGCTGATGTGGCTCAACCAAGAGGTCATTGGTTCAATTCACATGCCTGACTTGCAGGCTGGACCCCCAGTTGGGGAGCGTGCTGGTGGCAGCCGATCGATGTTTCTCATCTATGTTTTTATCTCTATCTCTCTTCCTACTTCTCTTTCTAAAAATCAATACAAACATTAAAAAATGCTAATGCTTTAGTTAAAAAAAAAAGGGAACTGGCCTAGAGGACAGTGACTCTAAAGCGCTCTTTTCTCTTTCTGCTTCTCTTTCTGGATTCTTTTCTCTTTCTGCTTCATCAGAGAGTGCTTCTTCAGGCCCCATCCTATCGGGTCAGTGAGATGCTGGCTCTGACCCTCTGGATACCCTGCAGACCTGGTCTTGGACTTTCTGCGGAAGGGGCTAGTGGAAGACTGGAGCCGTGACTGAACCAGGAATGGTTCCTGGCACTGTGGCCTGCCCACAGGAGCCTGCCTCCAAACCACCATCCTATATATCAATCACCTGTGAATTAAGGCTCCCTACATATTTCTAGTTCTCCTGAACTAATTTCTCAGGGCAATATTTTGAAATAGGCATGGTATAATTAGAAATGTATGTGGAAAAGTAGATGACTTCCATTTTTTTTTTTTTAAAACAAAGTTTTCTGTTTAAGACAGGGTTGGGAATAACTATTTCAAACAATGCTGATACTTTTATTTTTTATATATTTTATTGATTTTTTTATAGAGAGGAAGGGAGAGAGATAGAGAGCTAGAAACGTCGATGAGAGAGAAATATCGATCAGCTGCCTCTTGCACACCCCCTACTGGGAATGTGCCTGCAACCAATGTACACGCCCCCAACCGGAATCGAACCTGGGACCTTTCAGTCCGCAGACCGAAGCTCTACCACTGAGCCAAACCGGTTTCGGCGGAAAAGTAGATGACTTCTATCTCACTGGTTCATAGCTCCTCGAACCCTATTGAGGCCCACAGATTCTTTGTGGTTGGCAACAGTAGGTGCTCAATACAGAGCTGCGGAAGGCTTAATTATGGTACAGTAGCACTCTGTTTGGTCCTTTACATTCAATCCTCACAATGTGCTTATATAGCTAGAGAGTAGGATTAGCTCTGCATAACACAAGGAAACCAAGGCTCAGAGTAACCTGAACAAGGTCACTTCACTAGTAAGGAAAGAGCTAGGATTAAAACCCAGACATGGCTGCCTTCACAGCTACTCAAATGGCAGCTATGGCCATACGTCTTTTTTGGAAATGGATAGATGGGCAAAAAAAAAAAAAAAGAGAAGAAAATAAGAGATGAGCTCACAACTGATACAAGAAGAGAACCTGAAGACCCATCCCAATAGGAGGCTTGAGGCTGTCAGAAGCTGGAGAACTCGCTGTCCATCCCTTCTCCCCTCACCCCAGATCAATGTCCTGTAGCACTTACCTTCTTCAGAGAGGTTGTTCTCTTTGGTCTCCTTGTCCATCTGACAGCACCAGCCTTCCAGCCGCTCCGTTTCTGCCTGCAGTAGCTTCAGGAACCAGTAGCCATCTCGGCGGCAGGCCCCTGACTGTGTTGGCTCGGCCGGGGAGCTGGAGGAGGTCTCAAGCCAGGGGTCAGGTGGGGGAAGTGACGACGCCTCCAGGGCAGGGTCGCTGTTGTCTCCATAGGAGAGGTTGCGCTTGATCTGGGCAATCTTGGGGGCCTGCCGAGGGCCGGCATCGATGTTGATGGAGTTTGAGTTGGAGTGTGGGGTACAGTCTGGGAGGCTTCTCTCAGATGACTTACAGCTTGAGTCATTGGCATCCTGGGTATCTGAATCGGTGTCCCGTCGGGAGGACATGCTGTGAGAGGGGGCGCTGCTTCTGTGGGTGGGGGGCGGAGTGGGGTGGGGACAGGAAGAGATGAGAGTCACCAAGAGGGCCAGAGATCAGAGGCCACCCCAACCCGGACACAAGGGAGACAGAGAAACGGATGCATCATCTGCTCACCATGCGCCTGAAGCGGGTCCCACAGCCCCCATCTCATTCTCTGCTCAGCCCTGGCCCCTCCCATACCCACACCCACACGCATATACACACACGGACAAGGTCATAAGGTTGTCTGTTTGCTGCAGTGGGGCCAGGAAGACCACCAACATTAGGGTAGCTCACATCTCAGCCCAGCCGTGGCCCCCTGCGGGCTGACTCATCTCACAGAGCAACTGCTCCTTTGCCCACCCACCTGCCTGCCCGGCCTCCCATTCCTGGGCCACAGCCCACACCCCAAACCCAGCTTGGTTATTAGAAATTCAGCAAGGAGAAACGGTTTAGGGAGAGCAGGAGGAGAAGGCACAGGGGAGGCGAGAGCAGAGGAAGAGGAGAGGGGAGAAGCAACCACCACCTCCATACGACTTACCGCCAGTCGTCCTCTACCTGAACCCCGATGGACTGGAATTTGGTAGCGAGACTGGGCTCCTCTTTTGGCACTGGCTGAATGCAGTCAACCTTATTGAAGGACAAGGACAGCAACGGCACGGAGACAAAGACAAAAATAAAAAACAAACACCACACTTGATGCTGAAATTCACATTAGTGGGACGACGCAAACGGACGTTTGGACAGACGAACACGAGGCATGCGGACACTGCACGTGGGCCCAAGGCTGGACCAGATTAAGCCGGGCACTGCTCATTCGCGCGGAGGCGGGCAGGAGGGGATGGGGTGGAGATGACTGGCTTTCCCTACTCTGAGGAGGGTGCCATCACATCGATCGCTTTTGGTCCGTTGTCCTCCGAGAAGTGGGAACCGTTCCTTCTAGTCCTCTCCTTTACACGCATCAGAGAGAGAGAGAAAAAAAAAAGGACGAAAGAGAAACACACACACACACACACACACACACACACACACACACACACAAAGCCACAGCCGTTATCTGGTGTAGTTGAAGATGGGGCTGTCTCGAGGAACAGTGTTCAGTTCCTCATCCCTGCAGCTGAAGGACGAGCTGGAGGTACTTGTACTAGGGGCAAACCTTGGACAGCAGTTCTGGGTTTGAAAATGGCCACCAATGAATGGGAAAGATGGCAAGGTCCCTGGACTCTATGAGATGCCATTCCTGGGCCTCACTCATACTTGGCTGAGGTTACCTTCAGCACTGGTCTGCCTGGGAAGCAGTAAGAAAGGCCAGGGCCAAGTGCAAAGCTAGCACTCTTTGTCTATATTCCTGTAAAGTAGAAGGAAACACAGCAACGATGATGCTCTAGGCCTGCCTTTCTTTTCTGGGACAAAGGTATGTGGCCATGGGGTAGCCAGGCCAGCCCTTCCAGGATTGTCATGAAGGAGGGAGAACCCACATTTGACCCAGGGCTTGAGGCACAAAAGGGCTATCCTGGGAAATGGGGGACTTCCAGTCTCTTGGCTTTATGGAAGAAACAGGGGCCAGGGAGGCTTTCTGGGGCAGGGGACTGAGTACCAGGCTCCTTCTCACCATGGGGATGTGGCCACACTTCTCCTTCAGCAAAAGCAAGCTCAGGAAATGCAGCATCACTGGACAAGAGCATGGAATGGGGTAGAAGTGAATCTGGGAAGGGAAGCCCAGGATGGGCCCAAGAACTATATAGTCCTTATCCTTGTGTGTAATTCTGGATAAAGGAATCAAGGATGAGCCTAACTCTCCTCAGACCTTCCAGAAAGGTGAGAGCATCTGGTTTGGCCAGGAGAGGGCGGAGCTACACAAAGACTAATGATCAGAGATGAGACTACTGTCTGTGTTCCCGGGAATCCCTGCTGGAGCACTGTACAGGGCAGAGGCTGGATCCCTCATGAAGGAGCCCAGAAAACAGGCGTGTCTCCTGGCCAACTCTTTCCTTATGTATAATATGTGGAGAAACTGAAGTCCAGAGCTGCCTCTTGGGGGGGAGATTTCAGTCAAGTGCAAGAAATTGCTCAGTGAGCCTTGTTTGTGTACCACGTTCCTTCGGCATTCTAGTGCTTTGTCTTTTACTTGGCCATGTCCCTGCTCAGGGGTGGCTGGGAAAATGGAGATCCATTCCAACCCTAAGCCACAATGTACACCACCTTCATCTTCTTGCCTGCCTCCTGGGGGCCGGGGGGGGGGGGTTTGCACCTCCTTAGGGTCTTGGCCCACTGAATCTGCCTTCCTTTCCTGCTGTGTGCGCTCCACTTTAGTCTGGAGGTTTAGCCAGAGCAAGGAGGATCCTCTCAATCTGGATTTAAAGCAACTCTTGAAAACTGCAAAGCAGGGTTCAACTTTTCCCAGCTCTGCTAATAGAAACAGATTACTGGTATGAGGTGCATGCAGGAGGTGCAGTGAGGTAGTGGAGGGGAAGCTAGTGCACCCTGCCCTGCTGTGTGTCATCATGGCCAAGGGTGCACAGTGTGTTGGGCTTCTAGTGAGCAGACCAGTGAGCAGACCTGGCTCTGGCCACTTGATCCTAGAAAGCTAGATCCCTGAATCCTTTCCCATCGATGGAGGCGTCTAGAACGGCATCACACTTCTCAATCTGACGTGGGCCTGGTGCCTTGAGCCACCTACCTGGCCCCAAGTTCCAAGAGGGCTCTGGGCAAAGTTCCCCTTGAGTAACCCCCGTGGCTCAAGGGCCCTGGGTCCTGGGCCCCTGGCCCATCCGTGTCTACACTCCATGCTGCTCCCACTGCCAAGTGGGACCGTGGCCTCTGCACCCGAGTTGACCTTGGATTAGAGAACTGTTAGGCCAGTCCCGCCTCCCATACACTGGCTGGCAGGGGAAAAGGTGGAGTGGACAGACAGTGGACAAACAGTAGACAGGAGATGACTGGCTGAGTGTAACTACATTCACTGGGATGACCCATTGGAGGAGCAGGACAGGTACCCATGGTTGCAGACTTTGCAGCATGTGTGGGCAAACTCAAGGAAGGTATGGCTAAGAGTGGAATTTGATTTGGCCACTTGTGACTAGATTCCCCCCAAATACACAGATAAGCCACTTTCACCCAGGAGAGGTAGTGGGCCTTCACCAGATGTAATTACACGCAGACAGGTGCACAGAGCGAGCTGAAGACACAGAGTGCAAAAGGGGCCCCTACTTGTATTCCTATAGATGACAGTTTCCTTTTGGGGATGGCCTCAGGATGGGATTCGGAGCTGGTCAGTATCCCTTGTTCACTCTTCAGAGTTGCATATTTTGGGGGTGGTTCCGGGGCCTCAGAGGCTGAGGTGATTCCACCCCGTGTCACACTGGGTGGTCGAGTACTGCTGTCCAGGCTGTCCGACGAGTTGCTCAGGCCCGACTGGCTCGTCACCTCACTCTTGTGGTCCTGGCTGTCCAGGTAGGTATCCTGGGCAGACTCAGTACTGCTCTGGACCGTGACTGAGATGAACGGCTTTGATGTGGTTCGTGGAGGGACCGGTGGTGGGGTCTTCTTATACGCTACTAGGCATGATGAACCTGCAGATGGATGAGAGGAGGGTAAGGGAAAAGGTGAGGCCCCCAACTCTCTCAAGCCCCTTTCAAGTCTGAAGCCCTACCTGACCTGCCTAGCCCTGGCCTCAGCAGTTCCCTCAGCAAGGATTTCTGGAGCAGGAGAATGAGGATTAGACACAGCAATGACCAAGACAGACAGGCTCTGGCCACTCTCATGCTAGGCGCCAAGGCCAAGTCTAGTGGGGGAAGCCAACCTGGACCAAAGATACCCTCCACCTTACAGTCACACACAATAGTATTATCTAGCTATGGAATGGGCTAGGACAGTGGTGAGCAAACTGTGGCTCACGAGCAGCAGTTTGCGGCTCTGTTGACTATGAGTTTGCTGACCACTGCCTTAGGGGAAAACACTTAAAAAAAACATTTTAATAATGTACTGTCTTTAACCTGAAGTCAAACTTCTGGGTAAGGATAATGCCTTATGCAGTGGTCGGCAAACTCATTAGTCAACAAGCGGCAAACTGCGGCTCGCGAGCCACATGTGGTTTGCGAGCCACCGTTTGCTGACCTCTGGGCTAGGAGGTGAAATTCATGGAGCCAGAGGTTGTGACAACAGAGTGAAGGTCAAAACAGCTAAGGGATGGTTAACTTTGCTTTCCTCAGGCTCACTAAGAGACTACTGCTCCCTGCCACTGCTCCTTTCCTTCTACTCTCCTTCCCTCTACTCGTTCTCTCTACTTGGATGCCCCATCTATGCCTGAGCAAAGACCAACACATCCCTCAGGGCCCAGCTAACCCTTTCCTATCTTGCCATTCCCATCCCACCTCCTCCTCTTATGTGAAAACCTATACACCAGTCAAGATTCAGGGAACCAGGACCTGCCATGAGTGGGAGTTGAGGTAATCTTTGAATCCCATTCCCAGTGTGTCCTAGGTCTGGCTCACGGCAGGGCACAAAACACCAAAGGCCTACAGATGGCTTCTTAATGCTGAACTTTTTGAAAGGTGCTTTTCTTCTTTTTATATGTGTGTGTGTGGTGGTGGTTTTTGAGAGAGGGAGAGGGATAAGAGATTGAAGCACCTATGAGAAACATCAATCAGCTGCCTTCTGCACACCCCCTACTGGGGATCGAACCTGTAACCTGAGCATGTGCCCTAATCAGGAATAGCATGGGTGATCTCTTGGTTCAGGGGTTGACACTCAGCCACTGAACCAGACTGGCTGGGCTGGAAGGTGTTTTTCAAACAGCAGGAGCTACGTGCTGTGAGAGGCTGAGTCCGATACAGTGGTTTTTCTCAGCATCTTAACTCAAACTGCCTTTTTCCCATGAGGACTGGAACAAGCTTCTCCAGGGGTCCAGGCCAGGCAGGGAACAGGAGCCAGATGAGTGAGGTTAAGCCTAACTTCTAGGAGCTACCAATTATGGAGAGGGCGAAGACCCAATGGAAACCCACAAAACGAGGCCTCGGTGCCACGGGGGCTATGGACAAGACACGAAATCTCTCCGTCACTATGGACGATCACTAAACTAATCTAACGATGGCTAAAATAAACAGTGACAACAGCAAATGCTTGTGACAATGCAGAGAAACTGAATCACACATACTGCAAATGGAAATGTAAAATGATATAATCACCCTGGAAAATGGTTTGGCAGTTTCTTTTAAAACTAAACATGCAATTACTATACAACTCAGCAACTTACTCTTGGGCATTTATTCCATAGAAATGATAAAGTGTTCATAAAAACCTAAATGTTCATGGCAGCTTTATTTGTAATCACCAAATACTGGAAACAACCTAGATGTCCTTCAGTGGATAAATAACAGTAAGAAACTGGTACATCCAGACTATGGAATACTATTCAGCATTATAAATAAATGAACTAAAAATAAATGATATAAGCAACAAGTGAATAATGCCAAATGAAAAAAGCAATCTCAGAAAGCTACATACTGTGTACTTTTATTTAAAAAAAAATTATTGAAATCGCCTGGTGCAATGGCTGAGTATCAACCTATGAACCAGGAGGTCATGGTTCGACTCCCAGTCAGGGAACATGCCTATGTTGCAGGCTTGACATAGTGTGGGGTGTGTAGAAGGCAGCCAATCAATGTGGGGCGTGTAGAAGGCAGCCAATCAATGATTCTTGCTCATCATTGATGTTTCTCTCTTTCCATCTCCCTTCCTCTCTGAAATCTATAAAAGCATATTTAAAAATTCTTGATATCAGCTAATTATATAGATAGGGAATGAATTGGTGGTGGTGGGGACGCTGGGGGGAGAGGGACAAGAGGTGGGGATGTAAGTGTGGTTATAAGAAGGTGACAAGAGGAATCCTTGTGTGTGTTAATTGATGGAACTGTTGTATCTTGACTGTGGATACGTGAACTTGCACATTTGGTGAAATTACAAAAGACTAAAGATATGCATAGTGATTACACAGGCTGTATCACAGGAGTTAAGGCTCAGACAGGTCCAGGGCTGGCATAGCTCCTACTGGTTTCTACTACAGGGGTAGGAGCCAAAATTTTACCACTCCCCAGCCACTGGTAGGGAGGATGGGATGGTTTTCTGATCAGCTGAGGAGCAGTTTCCCCTAAGAGCTGGACATTGAGAGCAGAGTGCTGAAGCCAGGACTCACTGAGGATTTTAGGAATTGATTTGTGTTTAGGGATTTGTGGAAGAGGCAACCCCCCACCCCAGGAGACAATGGGTTGCCTACAGTCTGGGGTCTGGACTGAATGAGGACTAACATTTTAATCTCACTCTCAGGGTTATCTAGGCCCAGAATCCTTCTGATGTATTCTCAGAGGCCCTGAGCCCTGGCTGAGGTAGCCACTCAGACAGAAGAGAGGCCAGGCCAGATGGCCAGATGCGATAAGAGGAAAAGTGAACTTATCTTGGATTCTCTGTCTCTTGGGGCACAGGTCCCAGCCAGATAGGCAATGTGACTAATAGAGGATTTCAGGGCCTCATGGGCTCCCTGGGTGGTAGACATCCCTTGGCTCTGAGCACTGTCCTCCCTAGGGGAGGGGGATGGGACCTGACTGCAATAGGACACCTCTCATTCACATGTGTGAAATGTTACACAGTCCATCGCCTCCCCAGCCCCTTCCAACAACACACTCCAGCCACTGTGTTTCTCATACCCATTACACTTCCTCCCAACTTTATACATGTTGTTCTTTCTGTCTGGAAAGCTGCTTTCACCTCTTCACGTTTCAAATGTCACATCCTCAGAGAGGCCTCCTCTGATTGCCCTCTACTTTCATATCACTCAGGATCTCCATCAGTGCACCTATCACATTTGTCTTAGCTCATTTAGGGATTTGCTTGATGGTTATAGGCCTGGAACGGTTGGGGGAACTCTTGTCTGTCTTGGCACAGCAGGTCTTATCTCAGGCCAAGGGTAATACTTCAAGTACAGAATGCTCTCAATATATATTTGTTGGATAATAAAATTAATCTCATCATTGATACAACCCTGTATCTGGTTCCTAAAAGTCACAGTTATTTAATCATAGTGAAAGCTCCCAACACTTTAGTATCCAAGGTTATAACTCCTCTCCCCAATTTGGACCATTTTGGTTTGGTCCTACTCACCTATCTGTGCAGTTTCATCTCCTGTCCTCCCACTCCCCAGCATGCTTCTTGCAGAATCAGAGAGCCAAATGCACTTTCCCAAACACACCTCACTCTTCATGCACCCAAGCCTTTGCACATGCACTTTTTCTGCCAGAATTCCTTTTCATGTCCTCCCTGATTCTCATACTTTAACCAGTTCTTTACCCTCAGTTCTTCCTGGTTCAGGCAGAGTCTGCGCCTTTCCTCTCTTTGTGATTAACTAGAGCACTCAAGGCTGTGGCCATGATTCCAATGGAGAGTGTGTCCTGTGTGTGTCAGTGGACCAGTGTCCAGCCCAGAAAGTGCATAATCAACATTTGCCAATTAAGCTTTAGAGGGAAGCAAGTGCCCTGCTGGACTTGGCCAGACTGTGACGGTGGCCCTTCCTGCCCCAGAGAGACATTGGATATGCCACAATTAACCCCGTGGCACGTAGGTCCAACTCTGTCCATTCACTCTGAAAGACTGATTTGCCGTGGAAGCCTAGAGGTGAGCATCCCTCTAGTGTGACCATCTCCTCCAGTCCTTGTGCGTATTTTTTTTCTTTATTTTTATTTTATTATTATTATTTTTAATAAATCTTTATTGTTCAGATTATTACAAATGTGTTCCTCTTTCCCCCCTTAATTGCTCCCCTCCACCAGGGTCCCACCCCACCTTCTGTCCTTTCCCCATCCCCCATTGTCCTCATCCACAGGTGCACAGTTTTTGTTCAGTCTCTTCCCGCACCCCCACTCCCCTTTCCCTGAGAATCGTCAGTTCACTCCCCTTCCATACCTCTGATTCTATTATATTCACCAGTTAATATTGTTCATCAGATTTTTTAATTCCTTTGGTTATTAGATTCACTTGTTGATAGTTACGTATTTGTTGTTCATACTTGTGCATATTTTCAAAGATCCTGAGTGAAACATTGCTGAGCCACAGCAGCATGTGTATGCTGAACCACCACTCCCAGGAGCCACATGCTTCCCTGCCCCCATCGTGGCCATGCCAATCCCTCATGCCAAGGTTCTCCATGCAGCCTGTCCTGGCCATAGACATCCAGCCCACACTCCCTGCCCCACATTGTACAAGTCCTTGCTTCTAATGAGTCCTTTTGTCTCATTTCTGCCTCCACCCCAATATTTTATCAGCAAACCCTATTTATTATGTCAGAATAAATTTGTTTTGCATTTTGTTTTTTAATATTAAGGTGTATAAGATGGCTAAACAGAGCTTCAGATGTTCAGAAGAGTGGCTATGACTCCATCTCTTGAGAGATCTGGAGGACACAGCAAACCCAGGAAGCTAGTCCCTTGCACGTGCGTTGGAGGCCAAGGTGGACTTACTAGTAGTCCTGAGCCCAGCATAGCTCTTGTGCTTGCTGTTTCCCAGAGGGCCAAGCTGGGCAGGG